TGACAGACATTCGCGATTTTTGGGACTTAGAGTGGTCGTAGACATATTTTGCGCTGCATGGACATCACTAGAATCTACATGTTAAATCCGAAACCTTAAGTTTGTATTGTTTCCGAGATCTGAATGAACGTGACGAAATATGGACGGACAGAACAACAGATGGGGGAATATTGACCCTGATCAAGAATATATGTAGTTTATAGGGTCGGAAATGTTTCCTTCTACCTGTTACATTTCTTTTTACTCTACGAGTAACTGGTATAAACAGCAGCTTTTTGTTTTTAACTTCGAATAATAATCATGTACAGAACTGTATACTTGTTAAATGAATTCTCAATTATACTATTTTTGTACACCTGTACCATTGACTTACCAAATTGAAAATAATGCAGTACAAGTGTTAAAAAATTGTGTTCGAACGTGTTAAAAACACGAAATTTTATACATTGCTTGCTTAAAATACGAAATATTTTAAGTGTCTTTTATTCGGCAATTTGCTTAAGACCTGTACAACAGTTTATTGTGTTTCGAATTTTCTTGTTTAAACCATACTTTACTGCTTTACAAAGCCTGATTTCGACATTATAAATTATAGATATACTTTATCAGTAGGCAAGTCAATATTGCCATGTCCGTCTGCTCATCTTTTTCTTCTCAAACTAGTCTCTTAAGCTACCTATCGAAATAATAATTAACATCGTGAAAGAAAGCTAACTTCGTCAAGCTGAAACTTTGATGCCCCTGCAACTATTCCAAAATTGAATATTCTTTAATACAACAATATTCAGATTTGTATGCCTATATATTTAACAACAGTGAAGCTATGATTCTATCGTGTCAATGGCAACTCTATAAAATCGTTTTCCAGTTTTAATAAAATTAATACCGTTATTCAGAAATTGTGGTGTATTTTGGCTGGCTCAAGGTCTGGGTATTTATAGTGCCTATTTTTCTTTGTTCAAAAAGCACTTTCTTCTCATTTCTCCTATATGTATATGTTAAACCCCTTCGAGGACCGACTTCAGGGCTGCACAACATATTAAAAAAAAACATAACCATTATCATACCATTCACTTAATTGTTAACAAATATTCGAACACCTACATGGATACACATCGACCGTTCTGTCCGAGTTATAAACTAATTTCTAAATTTAGTTTGGTCAAGAAAATGTCTGTATGTGTGTGGCGCCTTTTCGTTGTCTGTTTTAAAGTTTAGTCTAGTGTGCGTGGGAGTATTGTTAATGTGGAGAATTTCGAGAGTAAACCGCTTGACGTAATTGTTTTCTGGTTGTAATACATATGCTGACCGAAGCAAAGTCTGGCGAATTTCTTGTGTCCGCACAGTGGGCAGCAAGAGCCGTTTGTTGTATTGAACTTTCACCTCTTCGTTTTATGTTTGATTGACACGGTGAACTATTGCGTCAAGAAATGGTTATCTTTCATCTTTTTCTAATTTATAATTTTTCCAAAACTTTAATATTGCAAATAAGTCGTCCGCATACTTGGTCATTAACCGTGCTTTACCGATAGTTTTTAAAATTTCCTCCATGACTATGTCAGCAATAACGGGAGAGGATCCCATTGGAAGCCCTTAAGCTGTATAATTTTTGGTCCTTGTATGTAAATAATAATAATAATAATATCTGTTTTCGGTTATTACAAAACGAATCAGCCCCATAAAAAGTTTTTTCGGAATACTGTGTGCTTTTCCAATACTAGCATTCTTTTTGAATTATTTCCAGGGCTAAATCCGTTGGTACGCTTGGGAACATGAACACAACATCAAACGATACAAATCTTTCATCTTCAAAAATATGAGTGTCATTGATTCGTTTTTTAAATTCTATTGAACATTTCACATTGAACGTTGAGTCTTTTGGCAAGTGTTTTAAAGAGGTTGTCAAATATCGACATAAATTATCCGATGGTGAGATTGTCATGCAGCAAAATTGTCGTAATGGCGTGTTTTCTTTATGAATATTGTGTAAACCGTACATCCTAGGTGCTTTGGCTGTATTAATTGTCAAATTAAATTTTTCCCTCTGTGTAATTATGTCTGTAGTCATGCCTCAGCATTCTTTAGGTTTGTGGGTCGTCAAGTATTTTGTTCAATTTCTCTTCGTTATCATTTTTCGTCATAGCTACGGTCACGTTTCCCTGGTCAGAATTTAAAAAAGTATATCCCTGTATTTGTTTAAAAATTCCTTGGTTCGTTCCACTGTCTCCGTTGTGGTTAGATCTATTGCACTTTTTTTGTCTTTTAGAAACGGTATCTTTTATTAAGAAAGAGAGTTGCGTTCTTGCTACTTCTTGTTTCTCTTTGCACCTGACTGTTTGCAATAGTTTTTATCCATCTGCAATGTAGTCGAAGAGTGCAAATTTTGATCTTCTCGCTAAAAGCGGTTAAGTCTTTTGGAAACTCCGTTTTAGTCTTGTTCACGAACCAATCATTGTTGTTGTCTTCCCTCTCCTTCGCATTTGTCGGCTATCCGTTTATCACGTTTTAATCATTTTTGTTGTTTGGTCGACTTTTACTTTATCTAGGGTTTTCTCACTCTCAAAAAATGCCGTCTGGTCTTCTCTATCCATCAGCCTGTTTATCTTTTTTGTTGCATTGTTTAATTGTGTCGTTTCTGTCTCAATGTTCTGGTGTTTTAATGTTATTAGAACATTAAGTAGTTTAGAATGAGAAATGTAGGTAATTCCGTACGTCTATTAATTTGTCCCTTTAACACCGAAGGAATATTTTTGTCCTGTTCAAAATATGGTCTGGTCTCGTCGAATGTTGAATAAACATATGAATTATCTAAGATTTCTACACTTTAACAAAAACTTCAAGCCTTGAAATTCTGTTCGTTGTTGCTTTATACATTTTTATAGATGGTTGTCTGTTGTAATTGTACTTCTTCTTGATGTCTGCGTAAACCATCCTGCACAGTACACGTACGGGAGGTATCCTGTTTATTAAAATTTAATATTCTTTGTGACCTGGTTTTGTTATTATGGTAGGTCAAGGTCTGGGTATTTATAGTGCCTATTTTTCTTTGTTCAAAAAACAATTCTTTCTCCAATATATTTCAAATCCCTTCAGGGTCCGCTTTCAGGCTGTACAACATAATATTTGATTAATATTACACCATAACAGAAATAATAAATCTTTACTGTTTAAGTTTATTAAAATCAATAAAAAAACAGGTCAGTTATCTTTTTTACATATTTTAATCGGACGACTATAGCATATAGCTCCCATAGGAACAATCGGAAAAATAAATAAACAAAAATTATAACTTTGTTGTTTTTAAATTTTTTTTTTGAGTTCTTCGACATGTAGTAATCGTTAAATATTTCAGAATTACGGTTTAAATTTCATCAAAATCGGACGACTATAACATAAAGCTACCATGGGAACAATACAAATATTAAAAAAAATTTTACTTTTTTATTTTGTAATTTTTTTTTAATTCTTTTTGACTTATTAATAATTTGACAGTTCAGAATTACGGTCATAATTTTATTAAAATCGGAAAACGATACCATATAGCAGCCATAGGAACTATCGAATAACTGAACTGCAAATCATCATAGCTTCAATGTTTTTAAAGTAAATCATAATTTTTATGTTTTTAAGAATATATAATTTTTGCACTAGCTGCAAGGGTATATAAACTTCGGACGGACAGACGGAAAGAAGTACATGTCCACGCTGATCAAGAATATATGTATATGCATTATAAGGTCGGAAATTTTTTTTCACTGCGTTGCAAACATCTGACTGAAATTATAAAACCCTCTGCAGGGATATAATAACAATGTAAGAAGATAAGACAACAACACCAAAAGGCTACCGAAGAAACGGTTGAAAGATTAAGCGGCAAATCGGCATAGATTAACGGTTTTTAAGCATTTAGCATAAACATCGAAATGTAGTCATTTTGTAGAATAAAAACTTTGGCTTGCCTTTCCTTTTTTTTCGAGTTTACTCTTTAATGCTTATACATATGTACATACAAAACAACCTGAGACAAATAAATAATCTTAAGTCAAGACGAATTGGTATCTAAGGTTCTTGGGCGACTGTTACCGAGTATTAAAATCTTCAACACATCCCGAAACAAGCTGCCAAAACTTTGGAGCCAGTTTTCGATCTGCACATGGTGGGAATAGAGCGAAATTAAAATGTTGGGCATTGTCGTCTCGCATCCTTGGCTTTGCCCCATTTATGTACAAATCCATCAAAGCGGCGACTGCTCAAAGGCCTAGCCAGGCTGTGGCGCATTTCACACGCTTCGCTGGAGTTCTGCAACTCGAATTGGCACAAAGGCAGTTGGGCACCGAGGACGAGGGCGGGAGACAGACAGGAAGCCTGTTTCCACACCGACCGAGGCGAAAGTTTTGGCCTGCAGAGCTGGCAAAAAAGTTTTGCCGCCGACGCTGATGCTGCATTAAATTTGTGGCCAAATACGATTTCATACCCGAAGCGGAGGGGAATACTTTAAGAATCTATGAACGCTTTATCTCGCAAGCTCTTGCCATGGATCTTGTGATCTCGTCCTTTCATCTAACTGCCGCCTAAATGCGCCTAAATGCAATTTTTGTTACTTGGCAAAACTTTCGCCTGCTTCACCTTTTGGGTAAAAGTTTGTTTCAAGTTCTGTTTGCGAGACCAAGCACTACCAAGCGCGGTGGGGGTGGCTTGTGCCGAACTTTTGTAATTATTTGATTTATCAAATAGCATAGCTGTTCCCGCCTACACCCAGAAAAATGTATTGTATTTAATTTCATAATAATACGAAAAATGTACCGAATCAAGCTTAAAAATTTTAAAAACGAACGTTTAAAAAGATGTTAAGAGCCAGACAAACAATTGCTTAGGTTCAAGTCACCGCCGTTTATTTCCCATTAAGTTTGGTTTTCTTCTCACCAGTTGTTTAAACAGCTTTTAAAAATTCTATCTTTCATGAAAAAATAATTGTCGCACTTTTAGCAAGCATGTCTCACCTTCAATTACATGGATGAACCACGGTTTTTAGTCGCGAAGTTTTGGATTGATTGATTTATATTTGGTTGGATCAACAAAATTCGTAAACCAACCAAATTGACAGCGCAATGCTTGATTTTTTCTGTGAGTGTAAGGACAAAGAAGGCCTGCTTTTTTGTTTGGCTAGTGTTTGGTTAGTGTAATTTTATTTAAAAGTTACAAGGTTGAAGGGGCTGAGCTTCATTTGTCGGAAGTGAAATCTCAATCCTTGACACACCCGTCTGGCACATGTAATCGAAGTCCAACTTGGACTGCGAGATCATTCGGTTAAGGCAAGAGCTTAGGTAAGTGCTCCCAAAGAACAGCAAACACCGGGCAGAGTTTGAAAAAAACACCTGCCAGGTATGCAAACAGCAAACAGAAAACAGACCCGCCGTTCACTATCTGTTTCGATGATAACGCAACGCGCCGGTTCCAAAGAGAGTGTTCTCCAGTTGATCTCTGCCTGTTGGCCAACAACAACATCTGGCTCGGGGAATGTCTTTGACCTGGATTATACTGCTTGGCCTGCTGATCCTGGAAAAAAGCACCTTTGGGGTCCTTGCAACGGCATCCCCGCACTATCGAGTCCGCAGTGTTGTCCATCCGAAGATTAAATCAACGAATGTGGGGCATCGAAGAATACGCCGGACTGGGCGCGAAACCAAATCAGTTGGAGCTGTCCCAAGCCTCAAGAAGGTCCAACATGACGGAACGTTGAACACCTCTATTTCAACATCTGACCAGGCACAGTACAATGTATGGCAGGTGCTGAAAGCAGATGGGAGAGCCAACCTCTGTGTGCTGTTCTTCACCATTTACATAAGCTATCTGGTGTATGTGCTTTTCTAAGTACTTATTTTATCTAATCCTTAAGCTCCAGCCGCTAAATAAACGGACACAGTGCGAAAGTAAATTGGTAGGCCTCCGTATTGATTCACAGTTTGTTATAAATTTTTTTCACTCGAAATACTGTGCCGACCTTTATTTTCAATTTGGAATTAAAATAAATTAATTAAATTAAACAACTTTGATATTCGGGAACAAGATGATGTCATTGGATGCCAAGTCGGGACTGTACGTTGGATGAGTGATTAGTTCCATGTTTTGACTGCTCAAAAATTCAGCTGTCTTACGAGGTGAAGGAGAATGATTCGTAAAGACGCCAAAGGGCATGTGGTTTTACGAATTTCTCCGACGAGTTCCGGCAAACAAATGGTAGTGTACCACTCAGAATTAGCCGTCCTACGTTGCTCACAAGGATAGTGGCCACATGACCCATTCGGGTAAGTAATAAAACTCAACGATTTAGAAAAAAAGTAGGAAACGGATTCCATTCATTTTAACACACATTTAAATATAAGATACAACAAATCAAAAAAAAAGTAAACACCTAAAAAATATTAAGTGGCTTAGGACCTATCAAATTTAAAAAATGCCCTTTTTTGGTGCCTAAGCTGCCAGTATTAGTAAAGTAGTCGCCCCGACAAAAATATATATATATTGTTTTTTTTTTCGTCTTTTCATCTGCATTATTTAAAGTTTAAAAAACAATTATTTATTTTTTAAATATTCAAAATGATTTACGATGACGTAATGTGGCTTAGTAAAATGGTAACTCTAATAATTTATTTGTGCTCATTTATTTTGTTTTTGGCTTGCAGTCCAAGTGTGTACACACCAAGAAGTTGTATAAATAAAATTTACATACGAAAATAGTTATTTCATTATTTTACGATTTTTCATGCATTTTGTTTTTGCTTTCTACGCCAAGCGTGTACACACCCAAAATATGTCAGCCATAAAATAAACATTAAATAATTGTTACTTCACTTTGTGATACAGTATAAAGTATTTTGTTGTTGCTTTTCTGGCGAATTTATTATGAAATAATGCTATTAAAATAGTAATTTATTAATTAGTTTGTTGTTATTATTATTATTTTTCTCATATATTTTGTTGCTTTAATAGGTAGCATTATTTTATCGTGATTTAACTATTTTGTTTTTTGTCAACGTCACCGGCTGTTAATTTTAATGAGTGCTAAGTTACAAATTGGTATAACCCCAGTTTGTTAGCTCGTGGGTCTGCGGGTAGGAAGCTTACCCAGAAATCCTGAATTATAAAATAATCAAAATTTACTCCTCCCTACCAGAGACACCTTCATTACAAGAACATAGTTAAATATAGGGCGGGAGCGCAGTGGTCGACTCACAAACTACTTGATGGACATGGTATGTACAATAGTATGTGTACAATTTGTATGGTTATGCAATGACTTATGTGTCAATACACAATTTATTATACCCTTGCAGAGGGTATTATAATTTCAGTCAGAAGTTGGCAACGCAGTGAAGGAGACATTTCCGACCCTATAAAGTATATATATTCTTGATCAGCATCACTAGGAGAGTCGATCTAGCCATGTCCGTCTGTCCGTCCGTTTCTACGCAAACTAGTCTCTCAGTTTTAAAGCTATCTGCATGAATCTTTTCCAAAAGTTGTCTTTCTATTGCAGGTAGTATATAAGTCGAAACGAGCCAGATCGGACGACTATAGAATTTAGCTCGGCAAGCCGAAGTTCATATACCCTTGCAGCTATTGCAAGAACTAAATAACTTAAATAACTACTTACTTACTTACTTTTGACCGAAACTCCGCCTTTGTGCCGATTCTTGGAATAGAATCATGGATGTCCGCCGCTGATAAAACTGGAGCACCCCAAAATTAACTCCGTTTCCTGTAAAATAATTGTAATTAAATAAAATAATAAATTATTGAAAAGATTATACTTACGAATTCTGTCATCATTAGGTTCCAACCTTGATACAAATAAAACGAAATAAAAAGATGAGAATAAACACAAAAGAAAAGAAAATTCTTAGAAAAACAAGAAACAAAGATAAAAAAATATTATCAATAAAATAATAATAACAGAGTAATGTTCTCTCCCTATCTCCACAGTAGGTTTGGCTGGTACTTTGCCAATCCGTTGGCAATGCCTTAATAAAGGTCAATATAAGAATATAATTATCAGTTGATATAAAGTGTTTTCATTCAGTGGGACATCGTGGTCTTTACAATACCGATTGTAGTATCCCAGACTTCAAATTTCATTGCAAACCAAGAGATGACGGCTATGGCGGCGTTGGGATCTATATCCGCAACAACATCAAGATTAGAATTCTAAAACCATTTGATCTAATAGAAAACATTGGAGTTCAAACTCTTAATCTTAAGAAGAATGTTAATATTTTTAGCTTATATATCCCCCCAACCACCACGGTAAACGATCTGAAACAGGGCCTTAAAAACATTTTTAGCTATGCGTCTACATTGGCCAACCCCACCGTTATTGGAGGTGACTTCAATGCGAAATCAACCACATGGGGCAGCTTGAACAGCGATGCCAAGGGTCACACATTGGAAAGAGTAGCGCTTGATGCTGGTTTTGTTTGCCTAAATGATGGTTCCCCAACCTTCTCACTCAGTCCTGTTCATTTCTCAGAGCGCGGGAAACTTGGGTATTCGAATTGGCGACAAAGTACTTTTAAATAACGTAGTATTCCCACACAAATTGACACCTACATTTGATACGACCACTTATGAGGTTACTAAGCGAGAAGGAAATGTTGTTCAGATACTCGGTGGGGGGTAAGACGTACACCAGAAACGTTGGTCATTTAAAAAAGATAGTAGAGACTAAATCGTCTATGTCGACAAATCCGGTGGACGTCGACGCCGACTCCTTTCCTTCAACTTCGATATCTTTACAGCCAACACCAGAGACTTTAAGCTCACAGGATGTCTCGAAATTCTATGCTTTAACGGGACAGGAGGATTCGATGTCTAGTAAGCAGCATATACCAAACGAGGACGGAGTCTCACGTCTAAAGAAAAAGGAAGGGGTGTGGCGACCTGTACCAGCAGAGTAGGTTTGGCTGGTACTTTGCCAATCCGTTGGCAACGCCGTATTATTAGTTCCAGAGTCACCGACCAGAGCGGATGGTCAATAAAGAATATAATTATCGGTTGATAAAAAGTGTTTTCATTCAGTGGGAGATCGTGGTCTTTACAATACCGATTGTAGTATCCCAGACTTCAAATTTCATTGCAAACCAAGAGATGACGGCTATGGCGGCGTTGGGATCTATATCCGCAACAACATCAAGATTAGAATTCTAAAACCATTTGATCTAATAGAAAACATTGGAGTTCAAACTCTTAATCTTAAGAAGAATGTTAATATTTTTAGCTTTTATATCCCCCCAACCACCACAGTAACCAATCTGAAACAGGGCCTTAAAAACATTTTTAACTACGCGTCTACATTGGCCAACCCCACCGTTATTGGAGGTGGCTTCAATGCGAAGTCAACCAAATGGAGCAGCTTGAACAGCGATGCCAAGGGTCACACATTGGAAAGAGTAGCGCTTGATGCTGGTTTTGTTTGCCTAAATGAGGGTTCCCCAACCTCCTCACTCAGTCCTGTTCATTTCTCGGTACTAGATCTCACCTTTTGTAACAGAAGGGACTTAAATATCTCATGGAGTTCCTCCAAAGTTAATATTAGCAACAGCAATCATTTCCCGATTGAAATTGTTAATAATAATGTCAGTACTAAAGTAAATAAATTGATTTCGAAAACACCAACTTTACCAGTATAGAAGCTATAATTAAGTCACTAGAAGCGTCAATCAAGTCAAACACTGTGAAAATAACATTGAAAAATAACTACACTGGTAAAAAAAACATAGTAAATGTACCTATTTCATCATTGAATCAATTATTTTTCCTAACGAATGAGAGTCAAACATGAAAATAGTAAATATAATTATGTCGCATAGTTATTTTTTATTCTATTATGCGCATAGTAAATTCAAACATTTTTGTATTTGATTTAAATATGCCGAATAGTTAAAAATATTTATTTTAAATACGCCGCGTAGTAAACCATAGTACCTATTTCCATATTTGATTTGACCATTTTAAACTTCAATTTAATAAGAATACATAGTTTTTTCAAATTAAGTTCATATTCACAATAAACAAAAGCCCATAATTATTTTGAACATTTTTCTGTTTAATCTAAATAGTATTTTATATTTAATATTAATATTGACCGTATTTCATTAAATATGACACATTGTTAATTTATATTTTTTTATTTGGAAAATAATTTGAAAATATAAAAATAAAACAAAATAATACATTATTAATATAATAAATTCATTTAAACTTCACTTAGTTTTCCTCAGAACTGGATCGCTGTTTCCTTTATTTTCCATTGGCACCTTTTTCTAGGGGTCTTCAGAAAAATTCTATTAAGCAAATTTATAAAATGTCAATAAAAAATCAATAAATACTTGATTAAAATTACTTACTTTTGACCGAAACTCCGCCTTTGTGCCGATTCTTGGAATAGAATCATGGATGTCCGCCGCTGATAAAACTGGAGCACCCTAAAATTAATTCCGTTTCCTGTAAAATAATTGTAATTAAATAAAATAATAAATTATTGAAAAGATTATACTTACAACTTCGGTCATCATAAGGTTCCAACCTTGATACAAATTAGAGGTGGAGAACTATCGATAGTCGGCGCCATCGATAGTGAGCGATTGTTTTTTTCAAACCATCGATAGTGTCGATAGTACCATCGATAGTCACCGATAATATCGTCCGAAATTAAAAATTTTTTTTTTAAGTTTTTAAGAAAAATGGTTTATTTTAACCAAAAGTTTTGATTGAAAAATAACAGGATGTTAATGTTTTTCTCTTTGAGCCGGGTGCGTCTCTCGGAAACAATTTGCCCTGCCTTGCTAAAAGCTCTTTCCGATTCTACGGATGTTGCGGGAATGCAAAGGTATTTGCAAAAGAGGCCCTTTATGCAGGGAAGATCAGTTTGATTAACCTGGAATAAAAGTAAAATACGTATGTAAATATTGATAACTTATAATTTGTTTTCGAATCATACCTTAATCCATAACAGTGGGTCCACATCGTGA